ATTAATCGAAGTTTGGTCGAAGTGGCCCTCAGGTATATAATAGATATGAAATATGATGTAATTATGTAATGTAATATGTTATCTATAAATAATTTCTATGGCTTTATTAATTCTGAAGGATTCGGAAGAAAAACTAACCTGTAATTATTTTTAGAAAATTTGGATCATCAACAGTTGATAGTGGTTTCATACCAACAATGTATTGAATAATATTTTCTTCAAGTTTTTTTTACTGTGATATGTTTTGTATTGTTTGGATTTAATAATTTCATTTGTTTTAAATTTGGACTTAAATTATTGTCTGTACCTATCTTATGTTTTTTCGTTTCTCTTGGACCCTTTACTTTAGTTTCAATTTTGTTTTGATTATATTCTTCTAAAACGTATCTGTGTGTACGCTGAAAAATAATTTTATATTTTTAAAAGAGATCAAAGATTTCGATATATACTTGTATAATACCTAACTACATTACTACATAAAAAATAGTAATTGATTTTATAAATCTGAAAAGTACGAATACAACTATAGAGATTGATTTTCAACAATTTAAACAATAAAATGTAATGTAATGAATCCATTGAATATTTTGACATTTTAAATAAAATTAAAATTATCATGACAAATTTTTTAGTTAAACTATGATAACATACACGTAAAATAAAACTGTCAACAATTGTTGTTCCCAAAAGTACATTTTTGGCAGATATATATATGGGGGGGTATGTTCCGTTTTACACATGATGCGCATAATTTATTCTTCATCTCTAAATATTAAACAAGAATAAATGATGCATCATGCACATCATGCATGAAACGTACTCCTCCTTTAATATTTGATAGTCAACAAAGATAAACAGATGCTTACAGGTGTGAGCATAAAGCTGGAAACACAATAAAAAGCACAGGTAATAGGAACAGGGAATAAGAGATTTCAACTTATCAGAAACCATGTATAATAGAGAATGGACGCTTTCTGATAGATTGAAATCTTTTATTCCCTGTTCTTATTGCCCGTGCTTTTCATTGTATTTCCAGCTTGAAAATGGAATGCATCCATGAATTGATTATAGGTTATAGTACTTATAGTATAGTAAATATTTAGATTAAGTACTTACTTTCAAATGCACCTTAAAATTAGTTGTAGCTTTTAAAGAACCACTTAAGACAGTGTGTTTATTTTGTTCCTTGCACGCTAAACACATTGCTTTCACTTCGTTGTGATCTTGTTCCACCTTAACAATTTGGAAATATTTACCATTTAAAATAGTAGGCAAAGTCGTATCACAAACAGTTATATTCTCTTTTTCAATTTCTTCATTTTCTTTATTTTTGGATGTACTTGCAATACTATCCATTTTAAGGAAGTCACAAAATACGTAAACTACGTTTATTATAATTGTTGGCTGTGTACGGTACAATAACGTTACCCGAATGATAAGGCTGTTTTTTCATGCTAACGCTCGACACTCATTTTCAGCATCGAAACAGTTCACGTGATCAAAATTAATGCTTGGTATTCATCAATTTTGATCAAGTGACCTATTTGACGCTCGAATCGAGCGTCGAGCGTCAGCATGAAAAAGCACCCTAAAGGTGCCTTTACACAGCAGCGTCGAGCGTCAGAGCGGTTACAGCATGCGTAGTAAAATATTTAATAATTTTACTGAAATTGAATTTAATGTACGAGATACGCTAATAGTGAAATCTTGTAGTTTACACTATATAATGTAAATATAAATTTTCAGCATTATATGTTAGGATAGTAGTGTGTATCAGAACATAACCTCCCATAATTTACCAATTTGCGTCAAGAAGCTGTGCAGAAAATTATTGCGCAGGAGTCTGGAGATTCAAACTTCTGCGCAATAATCTTCTGCACAGATACTTGCATGTAATGGCACCTTAAGGGATGCGTTTACTTTTTATGCTCATGCGCTGTAAGCTTCATTCTATCCTTTTTTTTGTGCAAGATTATCAGATTTGATAACACTGATGACTTGACACTGCTTGAAAGTTAATGAAAATAATTGCCGTTATATGAAAAAAAAATGTAAGTTACTATTATTGTTATCAAGGATCATTATCAAAGATTTTTTTGGTATTTCAAATACAAAATACATTGAAATTATATTTGAAATACAAAATACATTGAATAACCTTCTTGAAATACAAAATACATTTTGTATTGTATTTGAAATATAGTATTTGAAATAGTATTTGTATTTCAAATACTGTATTTCAAATACAAGTATTTGAGATGTGCCCAGCCCTGGCGGTTACGGAGATCCATGGCGCAGTTACGAAAATTTTCGGAATGCATGAACACGCGAGAACATCCTCTGAAGTCTAGGATCTACTACGACGACGATAGTACGCGACACGAAACGGCAACGCAATAGTACGATACAAAATTACGGCACAGCAATAATACGATACAAAATTATGACGCGACGATACGATACAGAATTATGACACGTCGATGCGATACAAAATTATGACGCGACGATACGATAAAAAATTATAACGCGTCGATGCGATACAAAATTATGACGCGACGATACGATACAAAATGACCTGGCTGTAGCCGCGGCGGGCCAAATAACGGACTCGAAATTATAACGAAACCAAGACGGTATCGAACGGGATGGCACGATCACGCGGTGCGGGCGTGCAGCCGCGACGCAGTTACTCGCGAAAGGATCCAACCCCACGGGATCCAACGATAATTTCGCGGATACGTGCGATCCCTCCGATTCGGAAATCGGCGGCTTTACAATATGTTACGTTCGTCTCACCACAGGATCCTCTCGATACTCGCTTTCTTTCTGCTGCAGTCCTGTGTCCTTTCGCACGTCTTCCTCGCCTCGAGTCCACAACAGTGTTGTTAGATGAACCCCCTTTCAGCGCATGCGCACTGCAGCGCTGGAGAAATCCAGGAATGTATAACGGTCATTTCGGAGGATGAAAGAGAAGAGTCTTATAGTTTTAGCGGGATCCGGCCAGAATGACAATTAGATGTAAGTAAAATAATATTTATACATATATTTGTGCAATATGGATTCCAATGTCGTTAAAGGAGCTATTAAAAAACTTAATGTTTTCATATTTAATCAAATATTTATTTTTTTATTTATAAAAAAAATATAAATTTGTTTTCTGAATACTGGTAAGGTTTTTGGCAGTTTCCCTTACCCTTGCAACAAATGTTGGTATTCTTTATAATTCTGCCAAATAAAATATTATATCTATTATAAATTTCTGTTTATTTATTTAGGAATCTTACACCTTTAATATATTTACAGTATAACACTAAATTAGATGGACAATCTTAATTATTGTTATTATTGTTATATTATTATTGTTATCAATTATAGGTGTTTTCAGTTTATATAACTTCATATTATATTATAATCTCGTCACTTCTATTATTGATTTTTTTTTTACTAATTTCGGTTTTTAATAATAAATAATAATAAAAAAACAAAAAGTGATAAAATTTTTACAGAAACGTCAAAATAGGGCCTTAAAGAACCTTTATAAGTTCGACATTAGTACAGCATTGATGCTATACTCCAATGCGCATGCGCTAAAAGGGGGCTCATCTAACAACAGTGATCCACAGCGCAAGTGTCGAGCCTGAGATTCGGGGGCGCGCAGGCGACTGTGGGCCCATGGTGTAAGAAAACAAGGTGTACCATTCCCGAGGATGCGCAGTGGTTCTGCTCTTCAACCAATCAGAGTTCGCCCTCAAATGCTAAGAAGTGACATGGCTTCTTCCATGTGACCATGTATATATACATACATGCAGCGTAACTGACTAGCTATCAAAGAATATTCATATTGATATTGAATATTGATTAGTATCGTTTAGTGTAGTTTAGTACAGTTTGCAGAAATGCCAGCGTGCTGTGTAAAATATTGTACTAGTCGCACGTCTTGCAACAAATCGAAAAGTGTAAAATATTTTCGATTTCCTAAGGACGAAATTATTCGTCAGCAATGGCTCATTGCTAGTCAACGAACAGAAATAAATATAAAAGTTGATGCGGGTAAAGTTGATATTAATAATTAATTAAACATTCGTTACTTTGCAATTTGACCACTACTGTACATATATATTAAAATAAAATATATTATAATTATAGCAGTGATATGTAGTAATCATTTCGATAATGATTGCTTCATAATGGAGTGGACAAAACCAAGATTGAAGAATGTAGCAGCCAAAGAAATGCAACGCTTAAAAAAAGATGCTATTCCAACTAAGATGTTATTATTGGAAAAGAAAAGGAAAATGCCTGAGAGTGAAGAAAATATGAAAAGGAATATAGGAAGTAATGTACCGTAAGTATTTTCTACATTTGTAAATATGTTGTGATTTTTACATGCATATAGAAATAAAACATCTCTTCATACTCTTTAAGGGCAGGTTCCCGTTCAAAGGCCCCAAAAATGCCTTAATTTCAGGAATTTTTTTTTTATACAAAATAAATTATTTTGGGAAAAATGTTTTGCGGGTTTTATTTATATACAAAAAAAGTATATTGTGTAATTTAAAAAAAAAAATAATCAAAATGGTGGCTCCAGTTCTCCGCCAAAGAAGCCGCTCACTAATGTGCGCCGTACATCCTACAGCCTCGCCAAGTGATCTGAGACCAAAAAACCAAAAAGATTCTTAAAATAGATTAAATTTGTGGGGCCCTATCGTCTTCCGATTTTTAAAAAAGCCCTTTAAAACAAAATGGCGGCCGTTTAAAAAAAAAATCATTTTTTCATGCTTTTTTGGGCTTTAACGTTAAAAAAAACATATTTACAATAATTTAAAAAAAAAACGACCCGTCAGGGCCCCCCAAATTAAATTAGCTTTAATTTGAGGGGTGAAACTTTGAAATCGGTGCATTCCTCGAAGCTGTAGAGCGTACGGCGCGTCGAAAAACGTTGTTTCCAGAAAAACGCGTTTAAAGTTTTACATAGTAAAAAATCGTATTTAACGTTTGTTTTTGACAACTTACATCTAATCAGTTATTCCAGCACCATATAGGGTCCCTTCTTCTTCTTCGAAGATCATGTTTTTTTGTATTTGCATGGTGATTTTTTCAATCCTGGCCTGTTTTGCGAGCTCCGACAATTCTGTCTCCGCTGCAGTTCGGAGCGCCGACGAACTGTTCCGCCCGACCCCGTATACCTCGTGAACTACATCATATATCGAAATATCCTTTCTCCCACGTATTCTCGACAACATAAGGATGAAAATTAAGCAAAAAAAAAAATTTTCGTTTTTTTCATCGATTTGGACGGGAACCTGCCCTTAAGATTAAGGACTGGAGTACCAACATACACAGAACTTGTTAAATGTAATGAACAAGAGAAGCATCGTTTGTCGCATAAAGGAATTGTGCAACATATGGAAGCAGAAACTGCAGAAAATGAGGAAAATACTAATATTGTAGATAATACTAATAACATTGAAGAAGTAAACAATATTACAGAGGAAACTGTGCAACATATGGATTTGAAAAATGACACAACAAACGTAGAGATGTATGTAGTAAATGTTTCTCTACAACATAGTATTTATTTAAGCTTCCCACTATTATGTTAATTATTGTATATACACATTTTGTATAGAAAAACGTTTTCTTTTACAGAAATGGAAAGGTTGGCAATTATAATTTTTCAATGGAAAATGCACCAATAAAAACATTATTAATGCAGATACAAAAATTAAAAGAAGAAAAAAGAAATGTGTTGAAAGAAAAAGAAATATTGGAACAACAAAATGAACAATTGAGGCAGAAGCAAGCCGATGCGATACCCATCGAAGTTTTAAGAAAAGTATTTACATCAGGCCAAATCGCAAAGTTAAAGTCATCAACTAATAGTCGCATACGGTGGTCATCCGAAGATATAGTATCTGCAATAAGTCTAAGAGCTGTAAGTTCTAAAACTTACAGATACTTAAGAAATGTCAAGAAAATGCCATTACCATGTACGTACAAGTACTTTGCAAAACTGGATTGATAAATTTAATGTTTCACTGGCATTTTAAATGACATTTTAAAAATAATTCGAATAAAGGAAATGATCTATCAATAATACAAAAATTGACCGTGCTAATTAACCGTGCTAACGAATTTTTAAAATTTCACGGTACTTCTTTCAGTAAAGAAAACAAAATTTTTGATAAAATAACAGATGTTGTATGTTTTAAAAATAATTATTGTGTTCCTAGAGAAGTTGTTGCATGTTTGGTGCGTACTAGAACATACATACGATTGAGAAAAATAAATAAAGAAATAATTTTAAATAATATTATGAAAAAAAAGCAAAGAAAATACGTAAGCTAAGTAATAAAGAAAATGTATTTACCAGAATAAAATAACATATATTTGTGTACAATGTGCATTTATTATTTTATTATTATTTTTACATATTTACTTTCATATATTGTTGTATTACACGGTTTTTTAGAGCACTATTAATAGTCTGATCTTAGTACGGCGTTTGAATCTCGCACAACATTTGAGGGCGAAATTTGATTGGCTGCTCCAGTATTCAGTC